TTGTTAAACATCATGGAGTTTACGTTCGATGAATATTCTGATATGCATTTAATGTACGGATTGGCAAGATGTAATGGAACTTTTAAAAACAAATATCTCGAAAACTATTGGCTTCAGACACTTCTAACAAGTAAGCCTTTTTTGTTGTGGAAATACGACAAAATAAGATTTTTCGGTCAGTTGTTGTATACAGGGTAGCACAAAAAAGTTATGATAAGTTATTTACCGAAATAGTGCTGTAAGTGGCGCCCTCTAGAAGTTTGACCATACAAAAAAACGGATTCTTGCTTCTGAAAGACTTTTGAATCAATAAGGAAAAATAGAAAATAAAATTGTAACTTTGACACCCTGTATCTTGCAAACTATCAACTTTTGGACTAAGGTATGTTTAGGTGAATTCACATATTTTGGTCTGTGTCTCCAGTTTCGTATTATGTGATATACTGTGTAACATTGATATTGTAACATTAATGTTAAATAAATCTACAACAAAGCATTAACGAATTGAATGATGCTTTTTGCGAACTTCATTAGTCGTGATTCTCTAATAACTCTAAAATCCATAAACAAAGTTTTCGAATAGGCTTTCTTTCGCTTATAGCCTTCCATGTCTGGGTCGCCGTGGCAGGCAGTCAAAACTTCGAACATCGAAAAAATTAAATCTCCAAAATTTTCGACATTATCAAAATTTTTGAAATAGGTATCCAACATTTTCGTGATTTACAAAATTTGCAAAAATTATGGTTTCCAAAATTTACATTATTTTCTTAATTTTAAAAATCTTCAAGATTATCGAAAATTTCAGATATTTAAAAAATCATGAAATTTTTGGAATGTCGGAAAATTTTTAGGAATTTGAAAATTCAAAAAAAAAATTCCGAAAATTTTGAATTTTTCGTAAATTTAGAAATTCATGCAAAACCCAAACATTTTGAAAGTTCCAAGCAGTTGGGAAACTTATGATTACAACCGTTACAGACTATGTGAAATGCATATGTTACATCGCCCTCGAAAGTTTCTCATAAAAGCTATTTTTTGTTTAAAATCCAAGAAGATTCATTCCTCAAACGGTACTCAGTTCTCGCATAACGTCTATAACTTTGTCCTCAAGGATCGATTTGCGGACCGCAAAATTTGTGACGCCCTTTTCACGCTGCTGGGGAACCTGCCTAGGGGCGACAACACTGTCTTACGTATCTTGAAAAGGGACATTATATAGATTTTTTGTGACATTATGTATGTTTTTCTACAAGATGTCAACTTAGCACTAGATGTTGTACACTTGACGTGTACTCGTTCTGCTTCAGAGATGGCATTATTGGCGCTATAAGTTGTATAGTATACCTGGAAGTAAATGGCAGTGCATAGGTGCATACTGAGGATTTGTGTGCTGATTTTTTTTTCTACTCCAACTACCACGATGGCCTAAACACACATGAGGTACCGTGGGGCTATAGGGGGATACTGGGGACAGGGGAGACGCCACACGGGAACACGTGTGCATGGACGCATTCTGGCTCCGCCTACGAGTTCCGCCGGGTGGTACCTCCGCGTTCGACAGTCAGAGACCATCTACCCCCTACGGTATCTGTGTTGATGATAATTCCATTGTTTCTTGTCTTAAATACACTTATTTGAGATGTATGCAAAGCTCAACGTTAGTTACGCATCCGCTTTTTCTTATTCAACCTGGGCATTACATATGCAAATTTGCTGAGTTTAAACAAGATAGCGATAAGAAAAGAGCACCCCTGGTTGGTGAAGTTTATTAAAAGTAACAGGTGAGAAAATATGGTACATACAGGAATATTTATGAACCATAAAAAAGTTATTACAGTTCACACTAATTTTTATTTCCAGTCATTTGAATTTTATAGAAATTAATTTTACGATGTCAAGTAGAAGATACAAATTAGCGCCGATGTGAGGCTGTGCTAAAATATTTTGTATGTGATGCGACTTTCCTAATTTTTCTGTGAGGTGGCGCAGTTATACACAACGCGGGTGTGGTACTGATTGCCCGTAATGCTTCTCAAAGTTTTTGAAAACGCAAAAAAACGGGGAAAATCGTAATGTATAACTCTGAACATAACCTCTCTTCAGAATGGACAATACAAATAACCCGTCTGGCACAGCTAATAGATATATTGCATGGGCAGCATATTCAGTAATAATTATACAGGGTGACTTGCAATGTCACGTATTCCTGTTAAGGGGTGATAGATTAGGTCAAAAGCAACCGATTTTGTCCTATAATATCCTATCCAGAAGTTAACCGTTTTTGAGTTATTTGAATTTTATTTTTTTTATTTTTTATTCCGATTTCAGACGGTTAAATTTGAAATACAAAAAAACTACATGTTTGATTTTGAGTTTTTTGTTATCGTCGCATAGCGGACATTCCAATAGCTCATAATAAGTAGGTAATAAAATGTTGAAAACTTACAAAAGTTTTAAAATTACGCTCTTGAAATGTATGATTTTCTTATTTTTTTACTAACTTATTCGATAAAAAATGCAATTTTCTGTAAAAAAAATCTCTTAGTAATGAAATGTGCAAATTATGTAAATAATATCTCTATCTAACAAGCTTTCATTTGAGGTATAAAAGTTGCAACTAACTCAAGTACAAAGACATAAAATTAAAAAAAGATGAGTAAGGTTGTACGAACGATAATTACGTAAGAAAAATAAAAGGCTTTTATTTTAATTACAGTTTTATTTAATTACATTTCCTATAGTATTTTACAGATTCCGCTCAAATTGTAATCCCCTGTTACGAATACACGCCCGCGTTCTCTTACGGAATTCACTTTTGTAAACTCTAGTTGTTAAGCGGCTTTTTATTTGGTCAGCTGCACTGATTATCCTTGTAATTAATTCATCGCGCGTTGGTACGGGCCAAACATCGTACACCAGGCTTTTCATATGTCCCCACACTTAGTAATCCATCGGTGTGAGATCTGGGCTTCTTGCTGGCCAGGCAATGGGCCCGCCCTCTGCCAATCCATTGATTTGGAAATTTATAGTCTAAATACGCCCGTACTAATCTACTGTAGTGTGCGGGACAGCCGTCGTGCTGGAACCCCATATTTTGTCTCGTCGCCAATCTGACGTCTTCCATTAATGGAAACAAGTGATTTTTCAAGAACTCTTCATACACTTCTCCATTTGAATTGGCGGGCAGAAAATGAGGTCCAATTAAATATCCATCAATGATGCCCATCCACACATTGACTGAAAACCGGCTCTGAGACCCCGTCGGTCTTATTTTTCGCTGGTTTAAAGCTTCTTTATCAGCCCAGTACTGAGCATTATGGTAGTTAGTGATCCCGTCCTTATCAAACTTCGATTCATCGGTCCACAGAATTTTCTTAAAATAGTCTGGATCTTCTGTATCTGCATGTAACATGTACCTGCAGAAATCTAATCGTCTTGCAGGATCGCCCTCTTCAATCACATGCACAGGCATGTAGTGAAAAGGGTATAATCTTGCAGTATGCACAGTAAACCATACTTTGTATTATGATATACCCAACTGAGCAGCCACAATGCGCGTAGACGTAGTAGGGTCTTCCTGAAACACACGAAGGATTTCCTCTTCATCTTCATGAGGATAGACTCGGGGTCGACCAGCATCCCTATGTTGCCTTTGAACACGTCCGGTTTGGCGGATGCGCCGATACACAGAGTCAAACACGGTAACATGAGGTGTTCGGCGATTCGGGAAACGTTGCCGATATTCACGGCGAGCAGCTGCAGAATCGCCGTTACAAAGTCCATAACAGAACATTGTGTCTGTGTATTCTTCATTTGTAAAAGTTTGCCCGTGCTCGCTATGGCGAGGTCCTGGCGGATCTTCTGCGTCTGCCATGATGATAAAGAAACCACTCGAAATGAACTGGGAAACTCGAAAATAATAATCGTGCGCGTACGCAGTAGTTGATACCAACTAAACCTAATTCTCACAATGATGATTAATAACAGCTCTCTCTCTCTCACTCCTCCACTAAGGCTGAACACATAGTGGAGCGGTGAGAAGAGCGACGAGCAGAGCAGAGAGGAGAGCGGCGAAAACAAAAGCAATAGTTCCAATCGAGTATAACATAGTGAGGCGAGCTCAAGCGAGGTAACTGCGTTGCTATAAGAGAGGATAGCGGCGAGACCAAGCAGATTTGTTTTCTCTGCTCTCCTCGCTGCGGAAATACTGTGTATTAAAAATGGATGTTGATGCATTTATTACTAGTGTTTTTGTTAAAAATCCCCTATGGGATCAGAAAGACTCTCAGCACCATAACCGCTTTGTTTTGGATAAACTGTGGGATGCTGTGGCCGAAGAAATGAAAACAACAAGTGAGTATATATTTTTAAATTTTATTTCTACATACGTAATTTTTATACGTCTCTCTAATAAAAGTGGCAGATGCTGTTGGCCTATTATTTGCTCGCACAACGTCCGAGTTATTACATTGAGACTCGGATTGGGACAAAATTGTTCATCTTGAATTCGAATGCCCTCTATATCAATTATTGTATTGTGTAGAATACAGATACACTTAATAATATCATCTGCTAAGTCTGGAGAGGCTTCTATGGGCTTGAAAGAATACGAAAACTTGGCACTGATGATTCAAAAGCACACTCTACTACACGTCTTGCACGTGAAAGGCGCATTATTGTAATATTCTTTTTCTGCATCTAAATTTCTTCTATTAAAAGGTTTTCATTAGATTATTTAATAAAGGATAGGCTTCATCTCCGATAAAACATAGGGTACAGTGATCATAGTGAGCGGTAATGTACCATCTTCAGGAATATTTAGACGTTTACTCTCAATCAGATGAAATAGAGATGAGGATCGGAATGTACCCCCGTCACTCTGCTTGCCATACCCTCCAACATCAATCGTTATAAATCTATAATTTGCATCAGTAACAGCTTGGAGAACAATAGAAAAGAAGTTTTTGTAATTATAGTACATAGTTCCAGAGTGAGGAGGACATTTCACACGAATATGTTTTCCGTCAATTGCCCCCAGACAATTGGGAAAATTCCATTTTTCGTAGAATTCTTTTGCAGTGTTCTTGAAGTCATTTTCGGTAGGAAGTTTCATATGCAGAGGTTGTAATATGTCCCACATAGCTTTTACTGTTTCTCGCACAATTGATGACACGTCGTAGCACCCATTCGAAAAGTAAAACTAAGAGTTTTAAAAGATGATCCCGTTGCCAAAAAACCTGAAAAAAAACTTCTTCAAGCTTAAATTCTGGTAAAAATATTTTCTCATTTCAGGGAGTATCGTGAGGACAAAATGGAAAAACTTGCGAGACACATTTCGCAAAGAACTTAAAAAAAGCCAGTACAACGATCGGGGGATGAGGCATCCTCTTGGACATCATCTTGGCAATATTTGATAGTCTTTATTTTTTAAAAGACCAATTTACTGCCCGAGTAAGCACCGGAAATTTGCCCGAAACTGAGCAAAACATCAATATTCTGGATGAAGAAACAAACACCCAGTTATCAGAACACCGATCAGAACCAAATAAGCCAAACTTGGATGATTCTACTTATGCCGATAAATTACCACTGACGAACGATTCGTCTCAAAACAAAAGCAGTTTAACTATCACACCTACTGTTAACAATTAAAACGAAAGAACCAAAATGACACAGATGTTGGTGCTGCACTTATAAGATTAGAAGAACAAAAACTCAGGATTCTAGAAAAAGAGAAAAAAAACCCTTGATGAAGACGATTGCTTTTTTGACAGCCTTCTACCACACATTCGCCCCGCTCACCCCACAAAGAAAAATGTTATCAAGAATGAGAATTCAGGAACTTGTTTATAACTTTATTTACAATGATCAGCCGCCTAGTCAAGCTACTCAAAGGCAAAGTAATCATCAAGCTCAAAATATGCATGATGTATATGAAGTAAATTCATCCCAAATAATTGATTTGCAGCCTCTAAGGGTTCTCCTCGAATCCTGCATCAGTTGGATCTTATTTGACCAGTTTTTCCGAAGAATCTCTTAATGATTTTTAATATTTTCACATAGGTACAGCTATATGAGTAATGTTTGTGCTTTCATTTTAGTTTGGGTTTTCGTTCTGAATAAAATATAAAATTGAAAGTGTGCACGTTTACTTACCTTAAGGTCAGTGCAACTCGTTCTGTTGGGCTAATAGGGTTACAATTAAAGTTGGTCCAACTTTTTACTAACTTATGCTGAATTTTCTTCACAATATAATCAAAGGTTACAATACTCATTCGGAAATAAGACTTAAACTTCTCGGGATGCTGCCTTAGTTCTTCATACAGGTGATGAAATTCACCATGTACATGCCTACTTTTATTTATTCCATGAACACTACAACTTCTCTTCCTATTTTTCAGAAAATACCAAATTTTCAGAGAAGAATTTTCTGCTAACAACAGATCCATCTCTCTGTTTTGATCGCGCTACTATGTGCAGGCATCTCTTTTATCACCGCGACACTCAATCGCCGCTCTGCTCTCTGCTCTCCTCGTCGCTCATCTCGCCGCTCCACTATGTTTTCAGCCTAAGTCAGCTCTTCTCGCTCGCTTCCTCGTCGAGCCGATGCCATAAAACAATCATGGCATGCGAGTCCTTTGAGGACAGTAACGACTTGTTCAAACAGGTAATACGAATTCCTTAAAAATCCAGCCTCTGTGGGTGTCATTGTTGTTTCTCTGCATGTACTTCAGATAATTGAACGCTTAATCAAATGAAAGCTTGTTAGATAGAGATATTATTTAAATAATTTGCACATTTCATTACTGGGAGATTTTTTTCGAATAAGTTAGTAAAAAAGAAAATGATACATTTAAAAAGCGTAATGTTAAAACCTTTGTTGCTTTTCAACATTTTATTACTTATTATGAACTATTGGAATGTATGCTATGCGACGATAACAAAAAACTCAAAATCAAGCATGCAGTTTTTTTGTATTTCAATTTTAACCGTCTGAAATCGGAATAAAAAATAAAAGACTTAAAATTCAAATAACTCAAAAATGGTTAACTTTGGGATAAGACATGATAGGACAAAATCGGTTGCTTTTGACCTAATCTATCACCCCTTAACAGGAATACGTGACATTACAAGTCACCCTGTATACAGGGCGTTAGGGAAATAATATTCGTAAGTTTAAGAGGTGATTCCTTGCACTATTCTAAGCAAAAAAGTTCATTATAACCTATGTCTGAAAATCAACCGTTACAGAGCAAAAAAATGCTGAACTTATTTCTTTTTAGTCATGAAATAAATTAATTTTGCACCTTAATAATTTAAATTCAAATGCCTAATAGCGTAAAATTATCAATACATCTATTTAATTGCCCCTTAGAAAATAATTTTCGTGCTTATTAAATACAATTTACCGAAGAAAAACAGACAAACAATATCCCTCACACAACTGGCAACGTCGTACTCCGCCTGCACTGAATGTATCATCGCGTGTTGTTGCGATTACTAATACATTTAACTGTAACTTTAAGTGATTTACGGATGTTGGTTTTTTCTTTTTTCAAATCGTGGGAATTGGTGGTGTGTATCGCCACGTACCGGTAAGTTCTGTCATTTTTTTTAAGTAAATATGTACTGTACTGAAAGCGTAATTAAATAAAAAATATTAGCAATAAAAAATTGCATAAAAGTA